CTGAAATTAAAACAGGCATCAAATAGGAGATGCAATTTTTCCTATGTCCTATGAAAATTAGTGCTATCAAGAAACACAAAAAAAGTGTTCAGAATACCAGAGCTCTCATTTATTATGAATTATTTGAAATGTAGTTGACATCAATACATGGTATTTTGTTTTTTCAGGCAGTGAGAAACATAAAACTCTGGTGTGATAGAATCCAAGTGTGAGTACTGCTAGAATAGAAAACCAGGTAGCCTGGTTTACTAAGGAGGAAAACCACATAACCATATTTTCCAAACCCTTTAACATCTAACAAAATGAAGGTCTTTCATGTCCACCTTGTGTGGACAAGATGATTTGGGGTCCTGTAGGATCTACTAAAAAGTAATCTCCCTTCCCAAGTTTGCCATAGCACCATACTTTTGTTCTTACTAACCTAAAATGACCACAACTAGTGTCATTTCTTTGAGTTCAACCACACATGCAGGAGTGTTGTCTCTCTGTGCACTATTAAAATGTACATATAACTTATGAGAAAAGGAAAGACTCTGGGGGTAGTCTCTAATATTTTTATTCTCAAAGTCACACAAATACAATCCAGATCAGAAGTTCCAGCTAGCCTGTGGGGGACTGGGATGGGCAGAATTCAATAGTGAATGAGAACAGAGGAAGGCTCATAGCAGCAACTCCAGAGAGAGGCTAAGGGCAGATTTCAGTGAGGCATGGCCTTGACAGTAGACTGCAAGCCTCCCCGTGGCCAAGGCGCTGGCTGACCCACCTGCGTATCTTCAAGGCCCTAAACTTAATAAATATGCCGTCAATGCAAAACAACTGCTAAATAGACTGCATGGAAGTGGTCACTAGTGCAGGGAGAGAGACAATTTGATGGAAAACAAGAATAAAGTGATGACATGTATATTTAGCTCACCTTGGGGTTAAGTGTTCAGAAGGAAGCCAGGATCCAGAAACAATTGCTGAGGCACTTGTTGTGGTTTTTCTAGAAACTAAAATGATCCCACAACTGGAGGAGCTAAGTTGGAGGGAAGGATGGCCAAAGGAAAAACCGTCCACAGAGGTACTTTCTTCTGGACAAGAGGGCCCTATTCTTACTTCTGTACAGTGTTGTTTTTATATATTTACTCCCTAATGATGTTATTGCAAGAGACATAAAAATCTATTTTTCTAATTAAATACGAAGCTCCTATCTTCATACTTATTAAACACACGAGAAAACACATGTGGGGTTATGACAATGATCCAAAGACTATGTTTATTTGCAGTTAGTTGATTTTGTGCATGCATGTCTACTTGTCAACATATGGTTCATGTGTCTGTTTCTGTCTGTTACATAATTTCACAGAGAGCATTTGTATCATAAATGAAATTAGTTTTTACCTCTTTCTTTTTGTTTGTTTCCTAAGATGTAGTTATGTATGTTTTAGGATTTGATTCCATGTTGTGTAGAGGAGAATATGTGTGCAAGTGAATTTCATGTGAATTTTAATTTGTAACTGTCTTTGTGAAAGTTTAGTTTTGGAGCTTGTAGGGAGTTGTGTAAGCCTTCGAGGTCATCTCTTTATCATGATACCCCAAGCTGAGGGGTTTCTTGAGAATAAATACACTGAGCTTGTAATCACTTTTCTTTTTCATCAGTACACATCCCAAGAGTTAGGTGGGATCCTATTTTGGATGGAGGTACAGAAAAGGGGAACTGACAGAAACAGGGGAAGTATCTTCAGATTTTCTTTTGGCTTATCCGAGTTTGCTCTTGAGCAGATGGTGGATATCCACACCCTTCAAACCAGATGCAGAGTTATTTCTTGCTACATACCTAGCTCTCTTTTGCTCTAAAATACTATTGAAAACAATAATAATAACTGAACCAGTGGGCTCCTAACTTAATTTTCCTCATTTCTCTAATGTTCTCTGCTTGGCAACCTGGAGTAAAGACACCAGACATACCCTTCTGTAAAGTCTGAGCTCTGACTCCCACGTTCTTATTTATAGAGCAGGGGTCAGTTTCCTTGCCCTTCACTAGTGCCCGGAATGCTCCGCTTGTCCTTAAAAGTCCATTCCTGAGCATATTTTTAAAACGTAAAAAATTTTTAAATGTGAAAATCTTACCCTAAGGAAGCACACAGATAAAAAGGAAACATGCCAGAGGGCGCCTCAAGTTTTAATCCCCCTTTGCCTCTGTATTAATTAATAATAATAATAAAAACACCTTTCTGGAAACTAAGGATTCCACAGCAGACAGACTCACAGATTGGGGCAGAGGCAGAGAAACAGGCAAAGCTGGTGCTGTCTGGAAGGACCCAGCTATAAATTCACACTTAGAACTCGGCCTTCTTTTGGGGAAAAGAAAAGATTCACCACTGTTCTCGCTTAGCGACACGGTGCATTCCTGCCCTGGAGGTGCTGCCCCGCGAGTGCGGGATCGGGCGTGAGCGCTGAGGACCCGCGGTTCGCCAGGCC